GTTTCAGCCTCCCAGCTTTCCTGGTTGCTGAGATGAAAGTGGGTGACAAAATGCACTCGCTTTCGGCACATACACACACAGATAGCCTCTCGGCAATACGCGTTTTTGCTGGCTGTAGCAGCGCTATAGCTGCTATAGCGCTGCACAACAAAAACGCATACTAAAAAGCAGTGCTCGATGTCCACGGCTATGATACAATTTTATTGCAAGTTAGAAAATGAACACACAAAAAACGCATTGGTCACAAACAGTAAAACATATCGATCCGATATTGTGGTGAGCCCAGCCTCAAAGGCAGGGGGTACAAATGATATAACTAATAACTTTTGCAAAAATTTTTCGGCAGTATGCTTAGCACTTCACAACTGCTTAGGTACTGACTCCGTCAGATTTCACTTCCTTCCATTATCGTTGCGGCGCTTTAATTCTCGACTGCGCTGGAAAGCTCTGACAAATGCCACCACCTACAATCGCTCCTTCAGCGTGACCCTGGCAAGTAGTATCCAACCAAGTACCGTCTTTGACAGACATTATCACGCAGCTGCTCGCTCGGTCATTCTGGTTGGTTGGTTTTCCTTCCATCCAGTTCATATAATTAAATGTTGAGCCGTCCACCCAGTAGCGCATCGCAACATTGTCTTCTTTCGATCGAAGCCCAATAAATACATAGGAAGGTCCTGCCCTTGTCATCTGATTTCGCGCCAAAGCTACAAAGCAAAGCTGTTTTTTGTAGTGAACGGTGCGACTTCAAAGCGTCCGCAAAAGAAACAAAAAAGGCTTTAAAATAATACATCCAGTACCAAAACTGCAATGATATACTCAACACCTGTGCAGCACTAGCACAGAAGTGAAATCTTTTATATTATTTTGCACCATTTCAGTAAGGGGTAATTGGGACAGTGGGCTAAATGCCAGGCTCTTTCTTTCCGCACATACTTCCTTATGATCCAATGCAAAATCCACGAAAGCTGAGGAACACAGCGGCTCCTGAGTTTTGTTTAAAGACAGGCTCACTATTGTAAATATAATCCTGGTCGCAATCGTGATAATAATCATGATCACCATATGCTTACCCAAAATGAAGTCGTTTTCTTCCTTCGAGTGAATAGAAACCAATTTTCCATCTAGATAACCACACTTGATTTCAGCCTCAGTGATGTTTGGCTTTGACTCCGTGAACTGAAAAATTTCACTTTCAGCAGTATGCGATGACTGGAAAAAACGGCAGTGTTTCTCTGAATTTTTCAGCTGTCGGGAACATTTTCGGAGAACAATTCGAATACGACTGAGGGAAGCATGCCCATCTGCTGCTACTTCCATGCGTTTCAACCCGCACAAAAAGTAAATTGAGGGGATCTGAACTTTGGCTTTGCCGAGACACATAAACAGCCTGTGTCGCAACGCAATAACACGAACACGTTAGCGGATATCAGAATTTATTTTAACAAAGGGTTTTGCAGACAAGTTGGTACCAAAATTTTTGCGGAATCTAAGATACTTTCGATGGGTCATCCATTCGCCCTCCGGATCAATTCACTCCTCTGAATACCGCTTTTTTCGGCCCACTTTTCTCAGCCAGACCTAAGTGAGCTTATGCTTTGCCGATCTTTTTTAGCACCTCAAGGCGAAGATCATGGCGTATTGAAATGTTAAAAGCCACTGTTTAATATGCCGTAGATGTCCCACAGCAGTCCTCTCAAAGAATATAATTCATGATTAATGTTGGAAACGTGTAAAAATTCCAAACGGAAAAATGGTGCGGAAATAAAAATATTTTTTGAATAAGAAAAAATGTGCTGTTCGATAAGACTGATGAAAGAGTGAAGGAGAAACAAACCGAAAACTAACATAACGCAGATTTGCATAATGTTATTATTTGTGATGAATTTTTTTTTAGGTTTAACTCACAAACGAGATTTCGAAATTTGTGGCAGAACATAAAGTTAATTTTCTTCTCAAATTCTGTGCAGCAAAAAATTTTTATTTCGAACCTAATTTTCATTTCAAACGTCACAAAAAATGGAAATTTTGGTACCGACTCTTAAAAAAAATCTCTTTTCACGCATTTGTGCTGCAGTAGTGATGTAAGACGTACATACTGCTGAGACCCTGGACATCTGCTTATCTGTTCGGATTTTAATTAACCCAATAACCAGGAAAACCAAGAAATGACAAAGCTGAAATTATTTTGGGATGTTTTCTGTCTATGGTCAGACCTATGGACTGAAATCTACCTCCCAAACGCGCCTGCTTCTCATGTATAGGCATTTCAGATGGGAATTTGTTGATGGCTTTCTTCAGCTGAGTAGAAGTACGCAAAGCGCATTATCGTGCCGTTTTGCGAACTTTCCTGTCTTAAGCCGTTATAGCACTTTTACAGGTGCTAAAACATTTCTGTGGATGAAAATTACTCTCAAAGGACTACTATGGCATCTGTTTTCTGCACAACGATTTGGAAAAAATTAAATTGTCAATAATTGTCTGTTTTTGTAGCTGATTGAAGCAAATTACCAATTTCCCACACTGCCTCCAGTATCCTGGTAATGTTAATTTTACTACCGTTAATATTTATAACGTCCTGTACTCCAAGAACTCAGAAACTCCTGCTGATTCCATTGGTTCTCTTATTTTTCTTTTCATCTATTTAAGGCATGTGCGGCTGACTTTCATATGTCCTTTTTAAGATACCGTGTGTGATTGAAAATCTCACGATCTGAAAATCTGCTTTTGTAAATCGTGCCTAGAATAAAGGTTCTGAGTCGAAATATCAAACAATGGGGCGATTATTCTTAATTGGCCTGGTTCTGGATAGTTACATTTCGACGCGTTTTTAATTTCACTATTTCGAGCCCTCTTATTTCTAGATGATAGTGTTATTTCATGAAGTGTGTGCTTAAAATCGCCCAAGTGTCCATCTGCTAGAACAGTTGGTTTGCCGACAACAATTATATTTATAGTGTATTTTGTACTGCTAAAGCCTTTGATAATGTTATTCCTCCCAGAAAATTACTTTAACTCTTTGACACTTCTATATCAGTAGTTGTCTTCCTCACTGGCATAGTGAATTACTTTTGTACTGGCTTGTACACGATGCAAAA